GATACTTAAAGCAAAATGGAATAAAACACATTGACAATTTGGTGAAAAAAAAGAAGTCATTTTTTAAGAGATTTTAAAAAATGCATGTAAAAGTTTTGATACTTCAATTACTTTGAGGAGGCTTGGAGAAGGTTGATCACATCTTGGATTATTTCACTTTATTCCATAAAAGAAATGAGCATCATGTTATCTTAAGGAAGTGTTCACCCTTAGAATGTGAAGTATTCAATTAAGTAAAAGTTTAAATTTTGATTTCAAGGCATATATGTAATCTAGTGTTGACATAAAACAAATTTTCATATACTTTGAAGGGGTTGTTGAATAAGCGTTATAACGAGCAAAAGTGTGAGTTTGACTCCTGCTATAAGCTAACCATGTTGCAGTATAAGTTGTCTCCAATACTAATACAAATGGCCAAGGTTTACTCATATAATGTTTACCTTATTTCAACAAGAGTTTTCTTAATTCTTGACTTGTTGCATATCACAAAGGATTGAAACACCTCCTTTGATTGAATATGTCATTACTAAAGTTAATCAATAAAGATTATGGACAGTTACAATCGATCGTTCCTCAAATACTATATGTTGTTCTTGTAAAAAGTTTGAAATATTTAACATACTGATGAATCCATATTTTATTAGATTTTTACTTATCTTTTTAGTGTTCTTTAATAGAAAAAGTAGACTTAGAGAGTGTAAATAATATAGAAACATCATTTTGGTCAAATATCATAGGTTTCTTAATTTTTGGTTAATTTACATTGATTTACATAAATATAATTTACAATTTTGATCATTTGAATAGTTATGCAGGAATTTCTGGACTTATTCCATGGATTTTTAGCATTTGAGAAAGTTTTAGTTGAAAGTGACCACTTTGGATTCCATAGTGGACACTACAGCAAGCTAGATCCAGAAGGGCAGATCAAAGTGATCACTCTGATTCTATAGTAGACACTACAGAGACCCCAGTTTAAAGAGGTGATGCGCGTAGCTACTTTGGTCCCATAGTAGACACTCTAGGGCAGAACAAAGTGATCACTTTGATTCCAAAGTGAACACTCCAGAGAAGGCCAAAGTCATCCAGACCTGCGCGTAACTACTATGACTCATAGTAGACACTCTAGAGAGGGTCAACAACATGGTGACCTGCACGTAATCACTATAAAACTATAGTAGCTACTATGGGAGTGATGCGCATTATCACTATGAACTATAGTAACTACTATGGACAAAAATATCTGCACTATAAATAGAACTTTAGAAATTAGAGTACGCAACTTTTACACACTTTTAGCTTCTTTTGCCATTTTGGGAAACATTTTCAGAGCTTAGGTCATTCTTGGGTGACAGCCAAGGACCAATCCTAGGGTTTGATTCACAATTACTCTTCACTTTCTTTTAATTTTTACATTGATGTCATTGATTTTCCTTTGTTTTCATCTTAAATTTGTAAGACTCAACCTCATGGAGGGCTAAACTTTCTTGTAATCCTTAGTGAGTTCATGAATTCTTGAATTCCTGGGTATGAATGCCAATATAATTCCTTTTCCTTCATGAATTTATATTTTTCAACTCTTTAAATTGAATTAATGGTTGAATGAGTGAGACATTACTTAATTAACCCTAATTCGTTTTAATGAAATTCTTAACTTGGTTTGCTTAATCTTAAGTTAATTTCTAAGGTTGCGTAATCTTGGAGAAAATGGTTGGAGTCCATTAAATTTGCTTAAATTCTTATGGGGTTTTAAGGTTAATTCTCGATTGTTGAGTTAATCTAATTCAGAGGAAGAGGAAAAATATTGAGTCTTGAGAGGAATATGGATAGAATCACATGAATGAACTAAGAATTGTTACATTTCATTGATTGAACTCATTAATTTCATCACTTGCCTTTATATTAAAATTGGAATCGCACAAAACTTCCTTTTTTAATTGCTTTCATAGTAAATGTTTACAACATGTTCAATGTGTGTTGCCAACCAAAGTCATTGAAGACAACCTAGGCTTGCATCCTAGACTACATAAAAATTCTGCATATTTTGATGAGATTTGCAATAAATTTTTTTGCAAACGAAAAATGTATCATCACATACTTTGTTCTCATGCATTAAAAGTGTTTAAAGCCAATGATATAAATCTTGTCCCTGAAAAATACATACTTAAGAGATGGACAACACAAGGCCATTATAGGATTTTTCACATTGTAAAAAGAATAAAGTTGGAAGGAGATCTTAAACTTAGTATCTCCTTCACAAGAATATTGTGAGCTAGTCAATGACAATATTAACACTTTAATTAGCCAAATCACAAAGTTTCATTTACAAGCATAAAGTAATGACAAGAATAGGGATGATGCAGAAGTTATGGTTCACAATCTAAAGGATTCAAGCAACAACCAAACATAAAGAGGAATATGTATAAATGATTAAAAAGTTGGGTTAAATTACAAATAAAACAAAAAAAAGAAGAATAGAGTTCTAATTTTAGGTCAATCAACATCTCTAAGTATTTTTTTGTAATGATTTTTAATATCAATAAACGTATGTATTTTAACTTGCTTATTATAATGATTTAATAATTTTTAATATGTTTTAGGACACCTCAATGTTATGATCCCTTTACTAGTAAATCAATTTATTTTTATCAATTTGTTAATAGTAAAATTGTTCAACTTAACTTTACATCAATAAAATTCTCTTATTTTTTTTTCATGTATAGTTGTTCGTAATTTATCTTCTTATTTTGTAGGGACAACTTCATGATATCAATGATTCAATTCTTGATCAAAATTGATTACACAACTACCAAAATTTCTTTTATTCCTTCATTAAATATGTATTTATCAAGTCATTTTTTTGTGTAAAATGTAAGTTAAAATACTATGTCATTAATGTATTTGCCCCAACCTTTCATGTTGTGTGTTTATGCATAATAGCCACATTTTTTGCTTAAGCAAATTGCTTAAGAGAATATTAATTCACTAGATTTTAACCAAGCTGGCTCAAGCAAATACTAAATTCACTTAAGCAATTCATTTTCACCTAAGTGAATAACAATATTGAAATTCATGAATTTTTATCTCAATTTTGCTTATGATTAATTTAATTTGCTTAACATGACTTAAGTGAATCCTGTATCACTTGAGCAAATATGAACTTGTTTAGCGAAAGTCATATATAATTGAAATTCACAACTCTTTGTACCAAATTTGCTTAAGATTTATTATTATTATTTTGCTTAGATATGTTCTAGGTCATTTAAGCGATATATGCTTATGGTTTATTCTATTTTGCTTAGGCGAACTTCACATGTTGACAAGCAAGTTATGTTCGACTTAAGTAAAGATTTTTTTGCTTAAATAAATATTATTAATTTTAACTTAAATGAAACAAAATTTGCTTAAACAAATTTGAACTAAAGAGTCTCAAGATATAAATCAAAATATAGATATTATATATAAAATATGAAATTAATACTAATATTTTTTATTAATATAATTATTTATTATGTTATATTTTTAAAATTATACATTTTTTATTTTTAAAAAAATTAAATCAAGTTCCCTTAATATTGACCTCTTTTTGTAAAACTAAGTAGGTAATATATAAAAGATAGACAAAAAAATATATCTAAAAACAAAAATAAAATCTCAAATTCACCGAATTTATGTTAAAATGATTAGAATATATATATATTTTTTAATGAAAATATAATATTTTAATGTATTTATATTAAAGTTATATTTATATATCTTTAAAATAATTACATACCTAATAATAATTTTTTTTTTACTTATTTTTAATTCAATCTACATGTTTCCTTTTATATAGCAATTTAAATTTATTTTTTAAATTTTATTTAAGTTAATATTTGTTCTATTAATAAATTTTTTAAAATATTATTTTATTATTAAATTAATTTATAGATATATTTATTTTTATTGATTCTTAATTAAAATAATAAATAATAAACATATCATATTAATTATTTGCAAAAATTAAAAAAATTATATACAAAAGTTAATAAATTTATTATTTTAATTTTATGACTCAAACAATATAATTTTATTATACTTAATTATTAAATAAAATTAATTTATTTATAATATTAATCAATATTAATTCTGTTAAATTATAAAAAATATAGAATAATTTAATCATTTTTTAAAAAAATTAATTCTATATTTTCTTAATCAAAAAGTAAACTTTTAATTCAAAATATATATTATATTATTAGTAATTTTTATATACAATAATTTTGTATGATAATTTTATTTATATATAAAAAATTTAATATATTTTTCTTTTTAAATATTAACGTATAATTTTGTATATATTGATATTAAAAATAGTTTTCTAAAATTTCATACACTAATTGAGTAAATACAACTTTATTTTTTTATATATTAATTTGATAAATTATTTTTAAAAGATATGATATCATGCTTTAATAATTATATAATATAATTTTATTAATAATTTTAAATTATAATATAAATAAATAATTTCTTATATAAATTTAATTCAACAAATATAAACAAATACATAAATAAAAAATTATAAAGTTTTTTATTTAAATTTTATAACTTATATTAAAAAATTTATTATATTTATACTTTATTATTAGAATAATTTATTTAAAAGTTATAATAATAAATAATAATATCATGAAATAATATAAATTTTATTTTTATATTTTAAAAATAAAATATTTTATATTAAAAATATTAAATTATACATTTTTTAAACAAATAAATTTTTTATTATATTTATATTATATTTTAAAATAAATAAAAATAAAAATAAAATAAATTTGTGTAACATACGGATATATTTATTAATTTAAAAAGTAAATCAACCGCCTCGTATAATAACTATAAAAAATTCGTATGGTTAAAAAATGTAAAAATAAACTTTTTTTTTAAATAGTTAAGAAAATTGTTTAAAAAAAAATTAGAAATGGCATTTATAAAAATTGTTTTTTACCTAAGCTCTTTCGTCTCCAGAGAAAATGGCAATGTTGAAATCTCTGGAGAACGAGTACCCACGTATTGACTCTAATTTTCAATGCTTTTGCGCCTCCCACGGTATTTTCTCAGGTGCGTTTCCCTTTCCTTTCTTCAACTTTACATTGTTAAGCTTTATCAAACACGCTCACGATTCCGCTTTCTTCTCAGTCGAAGATTTCCTCCTTCAAGATCTTGATGCATTAACTGCTTTTGCGGATAATCATTCTACTTCACACAGATTGAAGCAGGTAAGGGTTACGTTACCTAATTGCTTTTTTTAAATTGTAAGTTTTACTGATTCTGTTATTAAATTAATAAATAACTATGAATATGTACTATCTAGGGCATTAATCAGCTTGTCTCAATACTAGATGCTCTTCATCCACCATTGCTAAACGGTTTGCAGCTCTTGGAAGATGCTCAGCAGAATAAACGTGTTTTATCCACTGGATGTGAAGGGTACTTTCAGCACAACGTGTAGTTCATGTTGTGTTATTGCCTTGTGCAGCATTTTTTTAGCTGTGTTTGCACACTACTTTCATGCACCAATTTTCTTGTACTTAGGGTGTGTTTGGTTTAGTAGTCGGAAAATTTGGAATGAAGATCACTTTGCAGTTTGCACTTAACAAAAATCTGGGAAGATTTTGAATGTGGAATGCAACTCATTTACGCTCCACTCAACAAATTTTAACCACTCGTGTGGCATGGAACTGAGATGAAAGTCAAATCAAAAGCTTATATACTTTGCAATCCGTATTTGACAACCCTCCTTATTTTCAACTATTGGCATAGTACTGTATTTTTTCTGTGGTGTTCGTAACCTTTGCTGGTTATATAATATGAGTTCTTAATAATATTATATTTGGTTTATTATAAGGCGTGTCTGTGGGTAGTAGCACTACTTAGTGTTTGAGTCTGTTTAGTTCAGGATTGATGCGCTACTTGGTGGTGGATTACGTGAAGGACAATTAACTGAACTTGTTGGGCCATCCTCATCTGGAAAGACACAGGTAAGAACCCACTCCTTTGTCAAAAATCATATCTTGAGTATGAGTCTTAACAGGGTGAGGCAGCAGTTCTAATCTCTGCTGAGAGATGTTTACCCATGAATATATGGCCGGTATTGAAGATCTTAAAAATGCAATTTTAAAAGGTCACAGAACAGTATATGCCTAAAATTAAATATCACATGTCACAATGTTGTCTAATAGTTTAAAATATAAACACTTGTATAAAATTAAAAGAATGTCACGGATAACATGCACAGTTAAATTTTATCTTGTAATAATTAATCCCCACAAAAAAGTATTATTTCGATTTGAAGGGCATAAGTTTTCTCTATATTTTTATTATTGTAAACTCATTTACCATAAAAGAATATGCTCTTAAATAATAAGAAATATATATTCTTTTTCATCTAAGAGAAAAAAATTATCATATATATTTCATGTGTACTTGACTTGGGGGATAGATATTTTGATCCCTGCTCCTGCCCTTTATCAAACGGGTACCTGTCACTTGCCCCATTGCAGGTAATCTCCTATGGAGTTCTGCAGACATGGGGATTTTATCCATGCTTATTTCTGGGTGTGTTAAGAATAAAATTATAAAAATAAAATGGTTTACCTTGGTCTTTAGATGCTCTTTACAGGTTCCCAAGTCCCAACTATACACACACACACACAGACACACACACACACACACACACCCACACCCACACCCCCACACACCCACACACACTTCTTGTCATTGACATGTACATGATGCTATTGCTACTGCATCATCTCTTATTTAGTTGATGTTGCTATCTTCTATTTCTGGATTTTATGTCCTGCTCTATTATAAATTGGCTTATTTTTATTTAGGCATGCCTACTGTCTGCCTCAACTGTTGCAAAGCATGGGAGTTCAGTTATATATTTGGATACAGGCAACTCCTTTTCACCTCAGCGTATTGCATGTTTTGTTGGTCAGTCCTCTGCTTATGTCTTTGACAATCAGGTTACTTTGACTTGAGACTCATGGTATATTGTTTGATTCTTCTTATTCATTAACTGGCCCTAAAACTGATTTTGAGTGATCTGTCTTTTAGGCTGATCATAAGCTCAAAAAAGTATTGGACCGGATAATTTGCTACTCAGTGTTTGACATCTATCAGATGTTTGATCTGCTGCATCAACTGAAGATTAATTTAAGATCTGAGGTTCTCATTGAGACCAATATTTGTAGCTGATGCAACTTACTTGATTTTGTATTTCTTTCTGTCAAATAGATTACTAATGTATACCGGCACAGATTGTGAAATCAAATCAGGATGTTCGATTGCTCATTGTTGATTCAATCTCTTCGCTGATTACTCCCATCCTTGGGGGTGCTGGTCCTCAGGGTATTGTACATATTTGCATGCAAAATTCCTGGGTGTGTTTGATTTAGATGATGACACCATTTATCATTTTAGTATGCTGAGTTGTGCAGCTGTCCATTTTCATTTATTAGAAACTTACCATTCTAATTCTATCCTTTTTTGTATTCTTTATTTGTTTTACACTTTTACTAATAATTTCTTGTAAAGGAACTAGTGCTTTAACTGCCTGAGTTAAGAGTGCTTGCTACTCTACATTTAAAGGACGTAAAGTGCATATGGGATGCGTCCATCATATTTAAATATTATTTGCCAACAATAAATTTTAATGAGTTGGCTTCTTGTATTATGCTCTGTGAAGCTCATCCTCAGAAGTCAAAACTGAGTTTTGTATTATTGAATCATATATCTTCTATTATTTGATAACCTCATGTCAAGTCAAGCACTTCAATCTGGTTTCAAAGTTCAACCTTTAAGTCACTTTTTTGTTCTACTTTAAAACATCAAAAAGCAAAAGGTTGGATACAGCCTAAAAGTGTGTACATATTTTTCCTAGAGGTAGATAAATTAATTGAACCCTTTCGTAATGACAGATTATATACAACATAAATCTTTCTGCAAATCATTTAGAGTCTGAATCATGTCTTTTGTGTCTTTCTGCAGTTCAGTTTTGTTCTTGTCTTCTTTTAATTTTAATGTCACTGTTTCTGTAACACATTTAATCATGCTTTTCCTTTCCCTTTGTTAAGAGTCTTATTTTCAATGATAAAAGGTCGGATAACTATTTAACTTTGAAGAACTTACAGGTTATGTTATGGGTGATTTCAGGACACGCTTTAATGATATCTGCTGGGTTTTTACTGAAGAAGTTAGCAGATGAACATAACATTGCAGTATTGGTAAGTTCTGCTTTCCTTTTTCATTCTTGCTGGTGATAATCGTTTCAGTAACAAGTACAGCCTACTAATTGCAAGGGTTTTTTCTCGAGTCATATTCTTTTAATAGCTTTTTAACACTCAAACTTTAGTTTCACACAACATCATAGGTTTTATAGCTTTGTTGAAGTCTGAGCAGGACATTTTGTTTTATCATAGATCACACCTGTGACACTCCTCCATTTCATCATCTTTGAATCTTATTATTTATATCTCTCTTTATCTCTCAATCATTCTGTATGACAACCGCAGATTCTTAAGCCTTGTAACTTGAGGCATGTTCTCCATTATCCTGTATGACAGACCTTTCTGTCTGACCTGCTGACTAAATATGATATTCAGCATAAGTTGATTAAAAATAATAGATTGATCCCCATACTGTCCAAATAAATAATGTTTGAAGCATATTGGTTGACCTTATGCTTTCCAGTCTAAAGTCATACATCTCATTCTTTTTTCTCCTTCATCCTTTATTTTTTGTTAATTGTATTCCTGATGTTGATTTAAAACAATGTTTCTACCAGAAGTAAATTCTATGCAATGTTCTTCTCATATTGATAGTACCATAGAGCCAATGGCTTTTTGATAAGGTTTTACTTTTTTCCATATTGATTTTTGGGACACGTTCAAACATGTAAATACTTCTTACTTTTATATTCAATTTTTTATGCCATCAAGCATTGTTAATGGTTGTCATTACTTAACCTCCTATCTGCTGTTGGCTTCTCTCTACAACCATTATGCCTCTTGTGGCTGCTTCAAGCTCTATCATTTAGCTGTTGAATGACCACAGTCAGCAAGTGACCATCCTAACTGGTCCAAGTCTTCCACCATATAATCAACTTCTATACCAAAGACCAGGAGGTTCATTATACTAAGGTTGAATAGATCACCTTCAACTTAGGTGCTGTGCAATTTACCTCGTGCTTCCAATTGAAGCTAATAACCTCCTAAAGTTCTCAAATTGTGTAAATTACACATTCTATTCCTATTCCACAAAACAAGAAAACTCTTTAAAATTCCATATTTTAATTCTCCTTCCCTCCCTCTCTCTTGTTATTTTTTTCCTCTCTTTCTTCCTTTCTTTCTTCTTTTCCTTCTCTGTTTTTCTTTCACTGTTTCCTTTTTCCTTCTCCTCTCTCTCTTGCTATTTCTCTTTCTTTCTCACTCTCTCTTCCTCTCTTTCTTTTTCTTTCTCTTTCGTTTTTCTTTCTTTGCTTCTCTCTATATCTCTCTTTTGCCCTTTTTCATTCTCTCTATCTTTCTTTTTTTATTTCCTTCTTTCGCTATTTCCCTCGTTTTCTCTCTCCTTTGTTATCCTCACTTTCATTCTCTATTTCTTCTTCTTTACCCTCTTTCCTTTTATTTTTCTTTCTCTTTTTTCTCTTGATATTTCTTTTACTTTCTTTCTCTTTCCATACTTTTATCCTTATTTCTATCCTTTTTTTTTCTCTCATTTCCCCCTTCTTTATCTCTTTCTCTTTCTTTCTTTCCTTTTCTTTGTCCTTTGATTCTTTCTCCGTCTTACTCTCTTTTTTGTTATTTTTTTCATTCTTTCTTTCTTTGTCTTTTTTTACTCTTTCTGCCCCTTTTCCTTCCTTTCTTTCTATTTCCACTTCTTTATATCTTTTTTTTATTTTTATCTATTTTTTCCCTTTCTTCTTTCTCATTTGTTCTTTCTTTTCATTGATTTACTTTCTTTCAACTTATTATATCTGCATTTTCGTTCTTTCTTTTTCTCTTATTATTTTTCTTTCTTTCTTCTTTTCTCTCTCTCTTTGTTTCTTTATATCTCCTTTGCTTTCTTTGTTTCTTTCTTTCTTTTGCCTGGGTAAAGGTTTTGCAAGTGAATATCCAAATCCTTTTGATTAGTAAAAGTTCTATGTGGATACTTGTTGGTCCGTGTCTAATTGCCGTGTATCTCCAAGTTGGCATTGTATAAATCATTTCCTTTTTTCATTCATTTCCATGTCTATTAATATTTGATAAGTGCTACTGTTTTATGGGTAAAACAACGCAATGAGGAGACACAATTACGGGTGCAGAGAAAAAAGGAAATAACTTTTGAATGAGATAGACAATGGTCATGCATGGGCTCTTTTTATATTTCAAAGATTTCAAACATAATTGCTGTGATTTGTATTGATGAGGCAAGGCAGCAATATATTTTTCGAATAACACTTCTAATGGAACAAATTTTGAAGGTAACAAATCATGTAGTGGGTGGAGAGGACGGTATTTCCAAACCAGCACTTGGAGAGAGTTGGAAGAGTGTCCCACATGTACGGCTTTTACTTTCTCGTGATTGTGGAAGCAAAGTCTGCAATATTTCAACGCTAAAACATCCATCTATGGTGTGCACTTTATCAGAAAATTTCTTTATACATTAGTTAATGTCATGTTAAATAAACCAACTTTGAATAAGCTGTGGCATTTATGGGCATGCTACTCTTTTATTTATTGGGACCACATTCTTCTGTAGTACCATTTTTCCATTGTGAAATGAGTCACTTTAGGGTCTACAATGTGCAATGTTGATCAAATTAACTTCTTAAATTTTGAATTTAAATTTAAATTTTTAGTTTCTAGAATTAACAATTGTCGACTATGTTAGTCCTTATTACTAAGAGATATTAAAATTGAGTAATAAAGTAATCATATATCATATTAAGTAACATGTGATAGATTATTTTGGATACAAAATGATGTTTTATAATATATTAAAAGTAAATTATTTTTATCTCTGATTTTTAATATTTTTGGGCAATAAGGTTTCTTTCTTTTCTTCTACTTCATCTTTTTTCTATGTCATTTATTTCCTTCCTCTAGCCATCACTACAATAGCATTCACATTGCAAAGCTCTTTCATTTAAAAATGAAGTTTGATTTGACAAAAAATTAAGCTTGTATTTAGGAGAGAAAAGATGAGATCTTGGGTTGAATAAAAAAAAAATTATGTAAAGAGAGGAAGAGTGAGATTAATATGTGGAAAGAAAGCTTAGCAAATATTATGGAAGATGAGAATGTCATTGCAATAGCGGTCAAAAGAAAGGAAGAAGACATTTTGAAAATAGACAAAACAGAGACCTTATCCAAAAATTTTAAAAGTAAAAGATAAAAATGAATTATTTTTTAAATATTATAAAATAATATTTTGTATCCAAAATAGATTGTTATGTGTTAATTATTATGATATGTTATTATTTTATTATTCAATTTTGACAATAAAGATTAACGTGATTGACGGTTATTTATTTTAGAGACTAAATTTTTAAATTTAAAATTTTAAGAATTAATTTTAGTAAAGTTGTATATCTTTGGGACTAAAGTGAGAGTTTACTCAAATTTAATTTTTATCTTTGTCATTTGTAGAGTAGTTTTTTTTAATGGAGTTAAATCACTTTGGAAATTAACCTGGCTGAAATTATTGTTGTTTCAGGATTTTGGTAGGGCTACAAGTTGTACCATGTCTTTATAAGTATGACTGCTGTGACGGTTGATTCAAAATTAGATATCCTTCTTTTAATTCATTCTACCATTATACTTCAAGATAAATTATTTTTATTTTACAGTTATGATTTATTACAAGAACCATTTTGATCAGAATCAATATTGATAAATAGAAATATATTAAGAAATATGTATCTTCTATTGGTCGCATTAACGGTCTTACATGAGTTGGTTATGACTAAATTTGCTAATGCTGATTAAAACTTAAACATTCCTTGAAATATTTTTGACATTTAATGCATTGTTTGATTTGAGAGAAAATCGAAAGGGAATTGTGTTAAGTAAAAATGAGAGGTCATCGTGTTCTCGTATTTGGCTGTGAAGAGAAAATAAAGAGGGAAAAAAATATGATAGGATAACCTAAAATTTGTCTCCTTCCATGAGATGAGTAAATAGTTTGTTCGAAATGACAGATTTACCCTTTTTTTTTACTTACCATTATTACATTAAAACGGTATACGAGATATTCAATGTAAATATAACAAGAATGAATATTTTATTTCTTTTATTTATCTCTTCATTCAACAATAGAAGAGAAAATTGGTTTTTCTTTTGTTCAATTGAAGCATAAGATATGATCCAACTAAATAATGAGATTGAGAATATGAAAAAATGAGTCCTTTTTATATTTTTTTCATTTTTTTTAACAATATCATTGTCAAAAACTACCATAATAAACTATTGTTAATGTCTATATTTTCTTGCTAAAGACTTTGTTACTTTCATTCAACGCATTTTCAATACTTAAAACTTTTATTATTTTTCACATTAATTTTGTTTGGTCACTTTTAAGATATATTTATTCCAATTTTACCTACATTAATTTTTCAAATAATAAACTTAAAGAAACAATATTCATTTACATTAACATGCTTAATAGATTCAAAATTTTGAATTTCTTTTTTGGTTCTAGTTCTCTATGTTGTGGAATTTGAAACTTTTGTAGAGTAAGAGTAATTAGCTGTATCTCTAGAAAAAAAGATGAACTTTTTGTTGAGTTTGCTTGATGTTATTGCATAACTTTGGAATAAGCATAAATGGGATTCTTTAAAACAATTAAATCTCCTTTCATTTAATTTTTTTTTTAACTCTTACACAAAATTCAATTACAATAAACTTTCTTAGTTATGCATTATGACATAATGATCTTATAGAAGTCAGATTATAGTAGATTTTTTTAGACAAATTTTAGTAAATGTCTTGTATTATTTTTACTTCAATGTTTAAAAATCATTTATTATTATAAAAATAATATTTATTATTTTTTCATTTTTATGTTTTAAAAATATATTTAAATATTTTAAAATTATTTTTCTTTGATTTTAAAATTTGTAATTAATGTTTTTTTAGTAACTTGTTCAATTTATCAAGATTTTGAGTAAGAAAATTGAGTATTAAAGTAGAACAAAAAAATTAAATATGTATAATTTTAAAATAAAAATTTTTATTTCAAAAAAATTAAAAAAACTAAATTGTGCGTATACAAAACTGAAGAAAAATATATATTTAAACTTAATAGTTTGATTGTTGTCAAACAAAGATTATATATTTTTATGAACAAAAAATGTTTTTGTAATGAATTCTCGATCCACGGAGCAACTAATTGATAAAATCTTTTTATATTTAACAACTTATTTAAATATTTATTTGATACAAAAAATTTAAACAATAACTTCTATTATAAATTTAATGATAAAATATATTGAAACAAATAAAAAAATTTATTTTGATATGTTATACTAAATTTTATTAAAAAATTGAAAATAACTTACGAAAAATCATAAATTATTTTTTCAATTTGATCAGCTTTGACATTTTGGTCATTTAACTCTCCATGGAACCAGAAGAACATTAGTTTCTCAAGAAAAATATTATTCTTTCCATTTTTTATCACTTTAATAATTATGTTTTATTCATTTTCACTATTATTTTATAAAAAATTTACTAAATATTTAAAAATAATAATTATATATTTTGGTTTGTGTACTTTTTTTTATTGACAAATTAAATATATAGGAACAAAAGTAATACAATAGATAATGATATAGTAAAAAAAATTAAATAAATTTTTATGAAATTTAAAAATAATGATATTTTAAAATTTTAAGCAAAACTTTGAATGTAAAAAAGAAATATATTTTATTGATTTTTTTAATGTGTATCCAATGACATATAATAAAAATTTATTGATAATACTTTTTTTATTAAAAAATATATCATATTGTAAGTTTCATTTATTAATATTATTAAATGTTATAATTTTAAATTAAAATTTACAATTTATTAAGTTTTTTTTATCACGTATCTTTAAACACGTGTTAAAAAAAATATGTCATTTGAACCGTTTTATCACAATATATATGAAGCAATTTATATTGGAGTAATTATATTTTGATGTCTATTTATTATTTTTATTTTTATTATTTCTTCATCAATCATATTATTTCTTTTATATCGTTTCATTAAACACATTTTTTTATTTGTTTTCTTTCACTAATTTCTTTTCCTATTTTAGGGTTGTGGACAAGATAATTTCCTTCGTATTTCACTAATTTCAACAAATACAGTATTAATATCTAAAATAATTTCTACTGCTATTATACGCTGACAGGTTTTGGTTAGGAAGTTTATTGTTCAGTCATACAAATTTCATTTTGAAAAGCTCATTGCAATTATATTTTAACAACTTGGTTAATAAAATACTGTATTGTAATTCTTCATTAAAAGAAAATGAATATTTATTGTTGAATTATTGTACTAGATTTAATTTTTTTTTATTTAATGTTTCAGTAGATTAGTTTAAGATTTTAACCCAATTGATCTACGTGAAATTAATATTCTTCTAAAATTTGTGTTAGAAATTTGAGTTTTAATTTGGAAAAATAAAAATCTGCGTTTTCAAATTCGTGCAGCTTGGCCCTGTAAGCATGACGTAATTTTTAACCCATTTCTGACATATTTAATTTTTCATTTGGAATTAAAAATAGTAATTCAAATAAAAAAATTCGTTAATATCAGTCTATAAGAATAATTTTAAATATCTAAAATTAATAATATTTTATTAAAAATAATATTTATTATAATTTATATTTTTATTTAATAAACATATTATTTTTTATAAAAAAAATTACTTTTAATGTTTTAAAATCAACTCTAAATGTTAAAGTTAATATTAAAAAAAATAATTGTATTAACATAAACTTTTAAGGTTAATTTTAAACATACAAAAACATTAAATTTTTTTTATCAAAAATTAAAATGTTTATTATACTTTTATATTTAAAAGATGAAAAATATATTTTTTAATAAAATTTCATCGGTTTCAAATTCTTAAATTAACCCTAAACGTTTATATTAACATATTTTAAAAAATTATGAATATTCTTAAAAATTATCGAAACATTAGTTATGCTTCCTAATCAAAGCACTAATCAAATACTTAATATGTCAACGTTGGGACCTGTAACCTCCAAAATCCAACTCGCATAACAAAGTTGGCGTAGAAAAAGTCCCAACATTATTGCACGTATATAGCGAATGTCATCAAGTGCATTTACACTGTAAGCAGGTGCATGGTGCAGTTAAGTGGGTCGGCTATACATTTAACCTACAATACCTAACACTTTCGTGTGTCATATTTGGCCAAATCTTATCTAAGGGACTTACTTTACGTCACTAGATAAGTAAACATATTTCCATATATATGCTCTATTAATATTATTCTTAACTTGAATATTAGAGAATTTCTGTAAGTATCTTCACCATTGTTACATCATGAAATCTGAAGATTATGTTTTGTAGGCAAAAAATAAACTCAATAGACTAGGTTAGTCCCACCTCCTCCCAAAGTAATATGAAATAAAAGCAATAGGCAAAGGCAGATATTGTTCTCTAACAAGGCTAGAAATTTTTCTACTCCCGAGTCTCTTACCATCTTCTCACAAATCACTCTCCCGAGAAAAAGGTATAAAAAACATGAAAAAGAAGTCCAGAAAGAGTAAAATGTATAGTTACAACACAAGTGATAAACCGAGATGTCACAGAAGAATTTATAAACAATAACGAATACTGATGGAAAGCAAATTCTTCAAGAACATGAGATTGTTGCCTAGTACACTATGTTTGGTTCTCTGGATCAAAATGGTGTGGCAGAAAGAAGGAATCGAACTTTGATGGACATGATGAGAAGTATGAGGAGCAATGCAAAGCTTCTTCAATTCTTGTGGATTAAAGCACTAAAGACGGCTGTGTATATATTAAATAGAGTTCCAACTAAAGTTGTCTCAAAGACATCTTTTGAACTGTTCAAAGGTTGAAAACCTAGTTTGCGACATTTATGCGTTTGGAGATGTCCGTCTGAAGTGAGAATTTATAACCCACAAGAGAAGAAACTTGACCCTAGGACTGTTAGTGGGTATTTCATTGGATATGCTGAAAAATCCAAAGAGTATAAGTTTTATTGTCTATCTCGTAGCACTAGAATTGTGCAATCAAGAAATGCAAAGTTTCTTGAAAATGATTTGATTAGTGGGAGTGACCTGATTTAAGACACTACTCTTGAAATAGATCATTATAAAACTAAACCCTCTAAATCAAATGATAGATTGGTAGTTATTCATGCTCCTCCAGTTCAAAAGCGTGTTAGACAACTAGTTATCCAAGTTCCACAAGCTGTTGAATACGATTTAGTAGATCAAGTTATTAACGAGGAGCCACAAGTGAATGTTGATCAACCTATTGAGGAAGTGGTTGAATAACAAGTTCCTCATCAAGATAATGAGACAACATTAAGAAGATCTACTAGAGTCAAAAGCTCAGCAATTTCTAGTGACTATGTGGTGTATTTACAAGAATCTGACTATAACATAGGAGCTGAAAATGATCTTGAAACGTTTTCATAAGCCATGAATTCTAAGGAATCGAATTTATGGTACAATGTCATGAAAGATGAGATGGATTCTATGGCATCTAACAAAGTCTGGAATCTTGTTAAGTTGCCTGATGATGTAAAAGTCATTAGATGTATGTGGGTCTTTAAAACTAAGAAAGATGCACAAGGCAACATTGAGAGACATAAGGTAAGACTTATTGCCAAAGGGTTCACTCAAAGGGAAGGA